AAAGGGGACAATAAGTATAAGATAAAAAAAGAAAATCTAAATAGTATGAAATGAGTTTTTGTTAAAAATATGGAACGCTTCATGAATTTGCGTGTCATCCTTGCTCAGGGGCCATGCTAATCTTCTCTGTATCATTCCAGTTTTAGTATATGTGCTGCCGAAGCGAGCACTTCCTATTCTTTTTGACTCAAGAATATCTTTCTGTAGGACCTGGAAACACTGCTTCGAAATTTAAATATCCAAGAAGATTGAGCCCTATGCAGCAGTTTTTGTAGGAAAGTAGGAGCCTGCCTTCAGCAGTCACCTGGCTCCAAGTTGCAAATCTGAATCTTGCCATGAAGACAAAAGAAGTCTATTTTTTTTCTTTGAATATAGCCAAATCAAATTTCCTTTGACTGTAGCTAAAACAGGGAGAGCCTCCCCAATTACCAGGTGAATTTAGGATGTACTATATATAACAAATTGTGCTGTCACTCTTCTACTTGAAGACTAATTGTGGCAACTTTATTTTTGCAATCTCCTACCAGATTGCCTGTGATACATGTCACATTCTGTTTTAATTGTAAAATAAAACAGTTTTCTTTCTGATCTATCATTGTGGATAGTTTTTCTGGGGCCGGAGATAATTTTCATATTATATTTTTATAATGCTATCCAGTGTTTCCAGACATGATATAAACATATAAGGTACCCAAGTGGTTTCACTGTAGAGGGGTCTTTTTCTCTGGGGCTTCCAGTCAAAACCCAAAATTATACAGGAAATTGTACACTGCTCCCAAAATCTATAGGCAGAACCACCTCTCTGCCTGTTTGGGATCTACAGTTTCTTCTAGAGTAGTTAGAGCAGATTTCTACAAAATTAACTTCACAGAGCAGCAATCAGTCATCCCAGCCCTTCCTTTCAATGCACTTGGCATGTTCAGAACTTGAAACTGAGTCAGAGTCCATGGGGCCCCAAAACTCAACCAGGCTTGCACACGTGCATTGAGTAAGCCTCAGAATCTCAACTTCCTCCTCCTCTTCTTGGACAAATGTTCATGGATGTACAGCGGCACCTGCAAGTCCCCCACCCCTTCAAGACCTAAATCTATACCCCCCAAATTTAAATCCAGGTCCTGGGGTATTTCCATGAGGGGATCTGTCTTCCAGCTTCCCTCTCCTCACTGTAACACCCAATAATACAGAGCCAGGTTGATCCCAGCTAGAAATACCATATAAGATCTGGGCCCCACCTGGGATTTACAAGACAGGGCCAGAAGTTGAACTGAGCATATACAAAAACTCCAGGGAAGGCATTTTCTACACTGAGAGAGATTAACACAGATACCTTAAACTCAATTTTTGGAGTAGGGTTCTCAAAATTTTCCCAATCTTGTCCAGTGAGCCACTGTAGTTGTGTGAGGGGTTCCTGGTGTAAACAGAATCTGATGGCAGAGTCTGTCAGTGAAAACAAGCACCTCAGCAGCCAGAGGGCGGGGCCAATACCTGCCTGTACACTGTGTGACTGGGTATTAGGGTATTCCTGTCCTTCCTCTTAGCCCAGAGTTAGCTGATCATGGATAGGTTCTGGCTCACAGATGATCCAGGGTCAGCTGCTTCACCAGGGCAGATTTAATTTCTCTTCTGACCCACAGTCAGCCTGAGTTTCTCCTGCCTGAATTACCATGGGGGCATTAGCCCAGGCTCACTGGGGACACTCTCAGTAGCACCTGTAAGTCTTTGGGACTTTGGGGATGTCCTGTGCTGACTGGAGTCAGGCTGACAACAGGGTCTAAACTTTCTTCCATCTCAGAGGGAGAGAAATGAGTGATCCAGGGTTTGCTTCTCCCCTCACAGAAAGAATCTTCTCCATTGGTGCCCAGAAGGGAGTTTCTCCAGTGTCTTTTTTGGGTGAAGAACAAGGAGGAGGTCTGGAGAGGCAAACTGATAGATAAAGCAATTGCTTCATTTCAACTGGCCATGAGAAAACCAGATGAAGCAGTCGAGGTCTTTAATGTCCAGAAACTTCCAGTCTAGAAAAAATATATAAATGGTTGCACTTTTAACATCTTGTGTTCAGTACCAGAAGGGAGGTGTGCAGGGGACTTGGGCTTCATTTGTACAACTTCCCTTACGTTGTGAGGGCTGGTGTCACCACTGACGGGCAATTCGTGAACAGAAAAGTTGTTGTTATTAAGATTATTATTTCTTCTGCTTTTACTTTGTTAAGAATGTATATTAAGCTTATAATTTTTCTAGAAAACTCTATGTGTTTGTGTTAAATTGGTTGTTATTGTATGTTACAAAATAGATAAGGATAGGGTTTAAACAATTAAAATCAAACAAACTCTGGGAGTGAAATTTCTCTTGGGCAGGCTTAGGAAAGACAGAACTGAAAACAAACCAGCAGTATAGAGATGAGAAGCCCTGGGCCTGCTCCCTGCCCCGATCTGGCCCCACCCTGGAATCTCCCCTCACAGAACTGACTAGAAGAGATTAAACTTTTGGGTGGCTGCTCCCATCTTTCCAAAGCTAAGTGGTCACAAGTTTTTAAAACACAAAGGCACATGAATGGGAAGAAAGGACTCTATATTTGGGGGCCTTATTTTTTTGTCATTAAAACCTGTGTTTTTAGAGACATCCCATGTAGTGACATTTTTCTCATTGCTGCACATCCAGTAGGTGCTCTACAGGTATGAAAAGGTAAATATAAACACAACAATAAAAAATCCTTCTGAACTACACTCCACCCTTTTCTCTACTGCCCTTATCTGTCTGTATTTAGCCTTTATTTTACGTATTTGTTCTTAAAATCCCTTGCGATGGGGAAACAGAAGAGAAATACAAAGGCCAGGTTTTGCATCTGAGTCCTGCTTGGAATTTGGGGACATTTATTACTTGACCCCCAGGGTATTATTGTGAAGATTAACTCACACACTGTCATGTCCCCAGCACAGAGCTCTGTACCATACTTGTGAGCACATGGCACCTGCTCGGTAAGCACTGCATTAACAGCTGTGAACATGTTGTTTTACAAATGTAGACTCATTCAGACATCGCTGCCTTCTCCAGCCTTCTGTAAACTTTAAATGGCAAGCAAGGAATGTCTTTCAGGACAGTATTTGTGTTGTGATAAGAGTGTTGGGTGTAAGGAACGGTGTGCTGTGCCTGCTGTCTCTAGCTGAGTGCTACTGATGATGGGTCTAGGGACAGCATCATCTGCATTAACAGGGGCTTGTTATAGAAGCCAATTCATAGTCCCCTTCCAAACCTGTGGAACCACATTATGTAAAGTGTGGCTCAGAATCCCAAATGATTTATATGCACATTGAAGTTTGACAGGTAAGATTTAGCTAAGAGTTTCTCAGCCCAGGCTTCCAGTTAGCATCACATGGCCAATTTGAATACATACCATCATTTGTGGCCTCCCCCACGGATTCTGTTTTCTATGATTAGATTCAGATTATGATTTAATTTTTTCCACACATATCACAGTGGTAATTATGGTCCATCTGTGTTCATTGACACCCGATACCTATTTGTCGCACTACAGCTGATGGTAATAACTTCATTCACTTGGTTAAGTTGCTCTCTGCAAGATTCCTTCACTATGAAGTTTTGTCATTTTTCTGTCATTAAAGCTATCTTTATTTTCACCTCATGGTACAAACATGTTTAGTCTCTGTATTTTCAGAAAAAAGGAACAAGAATTAACATATAAGTAATATATTTAAACATCTTAAGACTTTAAAATGTAACAAGCCACATAAATGAAACAAAAATAGAAAAAATACAAGACTCAGGAGCAATAGCTCTTATTTTAGTTTATATCATTGTGTGTGATGTTCTCCGTAGTATGTTTAATAATTGACAGAGATTTATAATTTTTTGCAATTAAAAATATTTCTTTACACAAAAAGGTTTTACTCTATCATTTTTTATGTGTATATCATTACAATTTCTATGTATTTGTGTGCATACAATGTAAGAATTATCTGATTACTTTTGTGTTGTTTCCTTCTTGTTTTCATTACTCTTCTCAGTTATGTAAACTGCTCTCAACATTTTGTTGGGGTTCTGTCTGTATATTCGCCGGTATGTCCCTTAGAAATAAATTCTAAACTAGGGTCAGATAAACTAGGGTAAACCCCAAGCTGTACTGTTTAATGGATAATTGGCAAAATATTATCATAAAAGAGGAATACTATTAGTTTTCTTGTAGATTATTTTTGTGCTTTTAAGCATTAATATGTAAAAATGTTAGAATGATATCTGGTATATAGTAAATGTTCAAAAAGGAATGCTGCTATTCTTGCTATCGTGTTATAATCTGTATATTTCATAAAACTCTGGATTTCATGTCATCCATGAATTCTTCCCTCAGTGTTCTACCTCTCTGCTGTTCAGAAGTGTTTCTTTTAGACCTGAAGCATTAGCATCACTGGTGAGCTTGGTAGAAATGCAGATGCTCAGGCCTCACCCCAATCTCCTGAATTGGAATCCGCATTATAACAAGATATCCAGTTCATTGTTTTATACAATAAAATTTGAGAAATGTGTTTCTAACTCACCATGACTTTTCCATCTGAGAAATAGACAAAATTGATTCTTTATGATGTAAATATAGCACTCAAAAACATATATTCTTGTGTTGATGCTCTAGTTTTATAGTTTATATTCTACATGAACATAGTACCTACACCAATTTTGTGGAAGTTATGCCATTCTCTTTTCACAGAGGTACAGAATGCCTTAAGGAATATTAGTGTGATTAAAATCAGATTTCTCATATATATCAAGCTGGTACTCTTCCTCATTTTATCTTGGGTCAAATTAAGAACTCTGCCCATGGCTACATGGTCATTTATTTTCTTATTTTTGTTTTTTCAGGGACTATTGACATTTAGTTATGTGGCCATAGAATTCTCTCTGGAGTAGTGAAAATACTTGGACCCTAAGATCTCTGTTCATGGACAGAGACACATCTCGGTCAATGTGTTATTTATTTATTTTTATTACAGGAACTGTTGACATTCAGGGATGTGGCCATAGAATTCTCTCCAGAGGAGTGGGAATGCCTGGACACTGCTCAGCAGAATTTGTATAGGGATGTGATGTCAGAGAACTACAGAAACCTGGTCTCTGTGGGTGAGAATCACTTACCTCCATAATGTCTAATGTACCTCAAGGGATTTATTTTTTTCCTTTGCAGAATGTGTCTTGGGAGCTTTTGCTTTTTATGAATGAGTTTCAGATTCCTGCTTTTAGGAAAAAATTAAGGGCTTGTTAATGTACAATAAAATCTTTATACTTGACTTCATTATTTACCTTCTTTCTTGAGGTGATTTGCAGATTTCCCTCTAGTTTAGTGGTGATACTGTAAATTCAGTGATATAAAATATTGTTGTCTACACCTTAAAATCCAATTTTTTTATTTTTGATTCAGTCATACTTGAAAGTGAAGCACAGGATTCACAAATTTAAAATGCTTGTTAAATATTCTATAGGGTATGTCAGGAAATAGTATTTAGGAAATTAATTTCCTAGAATCTTCGATAATATTCTTTCTTTTCTACTGAGTACTAAGTTGAAAATTGAAGAACCCCAAGCAAAATTCATGTGTCTTTTTCTAATAAAATAGAACTTGCTGTCTATAAGCTGGACCTGCTCACCTTTTTGAAACAAATGAAAGAGGCCTGGAATGTGAAGAGAGAGGAAACAGTAGCCAAGCACCCAGGTAGGTGGGAGTGAATGAAGTAGATGACACAGTGATAGGTCCAAAGGTCAAGGAAGAAGCCAGACCTTAAAGTGTGGATTAAGAACCTCTGGCACAATGAGTCCCAGGAATACTATAGACAGATATCAAATATTTTCTGTTTTATTAATTTCCAATCCTATAGAGAATTCAAAAGTGATTCTACAGAAAGACTGTAATTTGATCAAGGTACAAAGCATCTCCCTTTGGTTAAATATTAAATATGTAATTACATATTTAGTTTTAAAATATTTATTTTAAAAATCTAATCATATATTTTACATTAACAGTTTCTTTTTCCTAGCCTAAACTAAGATTAGAAATTTAAACTATATGCACAATTTTCACATGTGTAAAATAGTTTAATGGACTATTTTCCGTAAAGAGTTCTTAACTAGTAATGGTCTATGGGGAGCTTAGAACTATTCCAGCATATAGTAACATTTTTGACTATTACCTTATATCATAATAATTACAATTTTATGATTTTGTTTGGTTAAGTATGCAGCTACTGAGAATGTGTCCTCTGTGTTCATTTGTTTGTTTGTTCTTTCTTTTTTCCTGACTTGTGGATTTTTTTACATGTATAAATTTTATGGTTTTGAGGTGTACATCTTGATGATTTGACGTATGTATACATTGTGTAATGATTGATACAATGAACTGAACACATCTATCATTTCACAGAGTTGCCAAGTTTTGGGAGGTGATAATACTTAAGGTCTACTCTCTTAATCTACTTAAGTGAATATTACTTAATCTCAATTATATAATATGGCACTGTTAATTATTTTCACAGTGCTGTATATTATATCCCCAGAATTCATTCATCATGTAAATAAAAATTTGTACTCTTTGACAAATATCTCTTCATTTTTGCCACCCCCTCACTGTTGGCACCCACCATTCTACCCTCTACTTCTATAGTCTCTATACATTCCACAAATAGCTCATTTCATACAGTAGTTTATTTCTTTATTTTATTTTAGTTACCATAATTTCCACCTGGTTCATCATCCATATTGTCACAAATGGCAGGATTACCTTTTTTTTTTTTTTATGGCTGAACAATACTATATATTGTAAATAATCTGGTATAAATATAGGAGAGCAGATATCTCTTTGTATTACTGGTTTCATTTCTTTTCGATATATACTCAGAAGTGAGATTTAAGGATTGGATGGTACTTCTGTTTTTTTTTTTGTTTGTTTTTTTTTTGAGACAGAGTCTCACTGTGTTGCCCGGGCTAGAGTGCCATGGTGTCATCCTAGCTCACAGCAACCTCAAACTCCTGGGCTCAAGCGATCCTCCTGCCTCAGCCTCCCAAGTAGCTGGGACTACAGGCATGTGCCACCATGCCTGGCTAATTTTTTCTGTATATATTTTTAGTTGTCCAATTAATTTCTTTCTATTTTTAGTAGAGACGAGGTCTCGCTCTTGCTCAGGCTGGTCTTGAACTCCTGAGCTCAAACAATCTGCCCGCCTCGGCCTCCCAGAGAGCTAGGATTACAGGTGTGAGCCACCGCGCCCGGCTGGTACTTCTGTTTTTAATATTTGAGGAGCCTCCATACTGCTTTCTATCATGGCTGGATCAGTTTACATTCTGTCTGACATTGTAGGAGAATTGTTAAAATCCACCTTTGCCAACAATTTGTGATCTCTTGACTTTTTTATAATATGCATTGTAACAGGTGCAAAGTGATATCTCATTGTGGTTTGACTTGCGTTTTTCTGATGAATAATGATGTTGAGCATCTTTTCATAAACCTATTTGCCACCTTTATGTCTTCTTTGGAGAAATATCTACTCAGGTCCTTTGCCCATTTTAAGTCAGATTTACTTTGTCGTTGTTGTTATTGAGTTGTTTGAGATCCTTATACATTTTAAGTATTAAATTTATCAGATATATTTTCTCCCAGTGCTGGGGCTGCTCTTTTATGTTGTTTTTTTGTTTCCTTTGTTGTGCAGAAACTTTTTTATTTTGATGTAGTCCTAATTGTTTTTGGTTTTTGCAATTGTTGTAATTTTTTGGTGTGATATTAAAAAAATCATTACCATTGATAATGTCAAAGAGATTGTTCTCTATGCTTTCTTTTAGAAGTTATATAGTTTCTGGTATTATATTGAATGTTAATCCACTTTCATTTAATTTTTGCATATGGTATGAATGTCCAATATAATTCTTGTGCATGGGGATAGCCACTTTTTATCATAATTTATTGAAGAGACTATACTTTCGTCTTATCTCAGTACCATACTCTTCGTTATATAGCTGTGTAATAGTTTAAAGTTCAGAAATGTGAAGATGCCAGCTTTGTCCTCTCAGGATTTTGTTGGCTATTTGGAGTCATTTGTGGCTTCATAGAAATTTTTGAATTCCTTACTATTTTTGTGAAAAGTGCCATTGGAATTTTAATAGGGATTGTAGAGTGCTTTGCATTGAATGGACATTTTATATTAATCATTCTAGTCCATGAATAAGGGACATAATTTTATTTATTTGCATCTTGTTTCATTATACTCGTTAGTGTCAGATTTTACTGAACAGAGTTTTCACCTCCTTTGTTAAATTGAGTCTTAAGAATTTTATAGTATTTAATTCTATTGTAAGTGGGATTGTTTCCTTAACTTTTTTCTCAGATAGTTTATTGTTAGTGTTTAGAAATGCAACTCAGTTTTGAATGTTCATCTTGTGAGCTACAACTTTAGTGAATGGGTTTGTTAGCTCTAACTTTTTGATATATGCTTTACAGTTTTGTGCATATGTATACGTATGATCTCTTTATGTACAAGCCAGAGATGATTTTACCCCTTTATTTCTGATTTTATGCCTGTTGTTTCTTTTTATTACTTAATTGCTCTGGCTTGATCTACTAGTACTATGTTGAATAAAAGTGTGAGATTGGGTATTTTCCTCTTGTTTCTGATACTAGAGAAAAAACATTTAGCATTTCACTGTTGTGGATAATGATACCTGAGGTCTTTTTGTATATGACCTTTGTTACGTTGAGGTACATATCTTTGTATGTATATTGTTGCAAGTTTTTATTATGAAAGTGTACTGAATTTTGTCAAATGCTTTTTATAAATCTTTTGAGTCAATCATAGGATTTGTACCTTTTATGGCTTTGTAGTATATCATTTTTACTGATTTGTATATGTTAAAACATCCTTGCATCCCAAGTATAAATCCTACTTATTCATGGTGTATGATCTTTATAATGTGTTGATGAATTTGATTTCTAGTATTTTGTTGACAATCTCTGCTTATATCTTCATCAAAGATAATAGTTTGTGGTTTTCTTTCATCTAGTGTCTTTATCAGGCTTCAGTATGAGAGTAGTTATGGCCTCATAATATGAGTTTGGAAGTGTCTCTTCCCTTCAGTTTTTGAAGAAGTTTGGGAAAGATTAATTCTTTTATAAATGCTTGATAAAATTCACCTGTAAAGTCATCCAGTCTTGGATAGACTGGGAGATTTATTACAGTTTCAATATCCTTCCTCAGTATTGATTTGTTTAGCATTCTACTTCTTTATGATTTAATCTTGGTGGGTTGTTTGTTTTGAGGAATTTATTTATTTCTTCTAATTTATCTAATATGTTTTCATAAAATTGTTCATAGTGTTGTCTTATTATACTTTGTATTTCTGTGATTATCAATTTTAATGTTTTCTCTTTCATTTATTATTTTCTTCAGTCTTCTTGTTTTTCCTTGGTTAATCTAGCCAAAAGTTTTTCAATTCTGTTTTCTTTTAAAAACTCAACTGTTAGTTACTTTGATCTTTTCTATTGTCTTTCTAGCCTTTAATTTTCTTGCTCTAATCTTTATTATTTCCTTCATTATGCTAACATTGGGATTATTTTATTCTTCCTGTTTAAATTCCTTGGGGATTAAAGTTAGACTATTTAAGAACTTTATTTTTCTCTTAATGTCAAAAGTTGTCATTATAAACTTGTCCTAGTAACGTTTTTGCTGTATCCTAGAAGTGTTCATTGGTGGTGCTTCTAATTTCATTTGTCTCAAAATACTTTTTGATTTCCCTTTGGATTTCTTCTTTGACCCACTGATTATTCAGTGGCATGTTTTTTACATCCACATATTTGTGAGTTTTCCAATTTTC